AGAGGATGTGTTCTGGTCTTTTTGTTTCCTTCTTAGCTTTTTTATTGTCTCTTTTGAATGAAGTGTATATGTGGCTTATCTCTATGTGTACAGTCTGTATATGTATTATGCAAGAATGGAATAATGAAGTACTTTATTCTTCTTCGTATCTACTAATTGCAATCTAATAGGTAGTTTATTGGACCACAGGATGTTCCAGCAGATCTTCATTCTTAATACAGTGTGTCATTTGGACAAGAATACACAGCAGACTCAAACTGATTTAAACATCTTAATGTCTGCAGTCTAGCTTTTCAGGGTATAAAACCACAGACTCTTTTCTCCAGCAATCTATGTAACAGAAGGAAAAAAGGAAACAAGAGTCTATGTACAATTTATTCACGCACATCCTGCTACTAGCATGCTGATGAAAACCCCATTCCCATCTTAACCCTCCCAAAAGTGTGATAAGTTGCACCAAAAACAATCTGAGGCCACGTTTCTTTATCTGGAAGACAGTAAGATACATTGCACAGGATTCTGGTATCAAAACCTTATTGGTGAATGTCTGCTTTCAATCTGATACCAAAAACCCAAAGGTATTTATAAGATAAACAAAGAATATTCTTAGCAGCAAAAAGACCAGCCTTGATTTGGTTTTTCAGCTGTGGTCCAAATCTATGAAATGGGGACAGATTCTGCAGAAAGTGTGCCCCAAAGAGAAGCATTTTGTGCAATTTGGCATGAATTAGAAGAGGAAAAAAGGATTTAAGAAGGGCACAATTATGATAACTTGCCTAGTGTACAAATATAGGGTTTTTTTTCTTCCATTTAAAAGGTTTCCTACCAATTCAGTAGGTTTTCATAGCAGTTCAGAAGTGGATGGAGAAATGGCAGTTGTGGACTGTTCTTGCTGGCTAGCAGATGATATCAGATCCTTTATCCACAGAACAAATTTGACATTTTTACAGAAAAAAAAAAAAAAAAGCATATCGAGTAGCTTAACAAGCTACAAGAGGCACTCTATCTTTTGTCCAAGATGGCAGCATGTGATAAAATTGGGAATTAAAAATAAAAATCCCAGCCAGGAAACACAAGCACCAAAGAATTTCTGTGCTGGGATTTGGAGACAAGTCCAGATGTTCCCTTAGGGACCGTCTTTTTCTTCCCAAATGCATTGTACCGCAGCCTCCTTTTCAGTGATGGGAACTTTACCATTATTGTGAAAATGTGTCATGTACATCCATACATCAGCCACCCACTCATAAGGCAATCCTGATTTTTTGGTTTAGAGTTAGGTTAACGAGTATAAGCTCTCAACTGTGCAACAGGATGAATCACTTACAACACCATATGTGATGACTACAGAAAATTCAACTAGTGGAAAAAAACTCTTCTCAATCTAGTCTAGCTGTCTCATTCGCAAGATTTCTTCGAACAAAATAAGTGCCTATGCAATAGAATAGCACGTAAGCTTATCTGTTTTTACTTTAAGTCTTTAGAAATAATCTTATTTTGGAATGAGTGGTTTTATTTTGGAAATGAAGTGGGATTTTATAGATGAGATCCATCTGAAATTTCACTTAGATCTCTGATACTTTTTTTTTCTTTTTAAAACCCATCGTCTAATTTCCTTGCCAGAAATAATTTCTTTTTAAAAAAGTGTTTTTTTTCCCAAGTCTATGGCTAGACTATTTTTTCCCTCCGTGAAGTCAGCTGGAGCAAAGGAAGGCAGGGATTGTACTTACTTGTAGTTGTCATCTTCCACAAATTTTTGAAGCTCTTCAATATACCGGACAGACTTCAAGTATTTTTGCACATGGGGTAACATTATAAGGTGATCTGTATTACCAAAAAAAAAAGTATGTAAATCTCAAAACTGCCATGAAGAAAAACAGTTTCTCCTTGTTGCAACCATGGGCTAAACTTTTTTCCTTTGTTATCTATTCTGAAATGTAACCCCAAATTTTCCACTAAGAATCTGATTTCACTGAACGCTATAATGAACTCGAGTCTTCCTTTAGCTCACATGAAGTATGATTAAAATACATTTTACAATAAAGATCTCTCCTGAACAGGAAATGGAGAGAGAGTGTAACTTAAAGAAGCCCAGTCAAGAAGCGAAAATTGGAGGATACGCCACAGGTGTCCCAGCATTTCTAGGCCTCATCTACAGCTCTAGCCTTATTATTACAAGAATTATAGATGAGGGTTAGTGGAACTGAAATCCAAAAACATCTGAAAGATATCCGTCTGGGAAAGACTAAAACAACTCACAGCTGGGTGAGCATATAACATGGAAGAAAATGAATGGGGTTTCCTGAAGTCAGAGCAGAAGCTAAGCCAATGGGTTGCACTGAAATCTGCAATGGAATTTATCCATAAAATGAGAAGGGAAACATACCCCTTCACTGTAGACACATGTACATACTCAGCCAGCAAGACAAACACATAAATCTGATTGTCTACAACTAATAATATATAAAAGATGAATGGTGGAAACAAAATGACTTAGTAACACAGAACATTAACCCTCAAGGCCAGCTTTCATACGAGGTGGACATCTGATACTAATTTACTATGTTGCTTAACACTGGTGAGGAGATAAATGACCAACCGTAGCTACAAGAGACTTGCAAATCAGCAATTATTCGGAGGATATTGTTCATTTGATTGGATCTTTGTTCATTCTCCATGATGCTGCCTGAAGCTGGATATGCCGAATCGATGTAGATTAAGTCCAAGAGATAAATCCCTAAAGTTAAAGAGAGAGATTAGACCATGTTTAGTTGATAAAGTTATAACCAACTCCATATAGTTGATAAAAGTTATAACCAACTTCCAGGAACCACTCAACATTTCTGAATCATGTCTCTCAAAAGTAAAATCAGAGCTGAACAATTATAGAGAAAGTTCACACTTTTCCCATCTTTCTTGGCACTTAACATATTGTTTTCTAATTCTCATTGAAAGCTAGATATGTCAAGAACTGCACACAATTACCCTCACCCTCAGAATACTATATCATACTATTTGCTCTTTAGATCCAAGGATTAGAATTTAATAAGGAAAGGTGAATAAAATAGCTACCTGTAGTTGGTTTGCGAGATAGCAGAAGCTGCTGCAAACCTGTGATGGAGTCTACTGACCCATGCCCTGTGCACGCCCACCTGACCCATGCCCTGTGCACGCCCACCCTAACAATGCACATACAATCATACATTTGGGGAACTCTGGGACTCTTTTTAAAGCAGAAACATTGCTATAATCTGCCAAACAGGCTGGGTAACAAATGCCACTTTCTGAATCTGGCAGATGAATGAGACTTTCAGATTGACTTATTCAAGTTAAAAACTAGAATAGCAGAGAGACACAGGATAAAGAAAATGATCAAGGAGGAGATGCTTTTAGAGAAGAGCATGTATATGCTGTCTATACTAATGGAGTTCTTGTGTTTTGCATTTTACTGAAATTACCCTGAAATCTTGACTCTGAAATCCATTTGTATTCTACAAAAGAAAGCAGAGACAGAAAAGCTACTAGGAATGAGAGCGGGAGAGGGAGAGATTGCAGAAGGGTCAGAAGCTAATTAGTTATGTCCTTCCTCCACTGATTATATTAAAGAAGATTGCTTCCACAGAACTACAGATGGTCTCCCAACTGCCTGACCAAGCTCAACAGAAAGCATATGGAAGGAAGGAACTGGAGCCAGTTCGGAACCAGCATCAGAGAAGTGGATGGATGGTGTTTATCATAGGCAGGGAAAAGTAATTAAGTCTGCAAGGAGTGTGTGGGCTTTCTAAAGCAGTGGGGATGAAAAGCAGAAAGGAAACTGATATTCATAGAAAGAAGAAGGTAGGCACCATCACCGCAGAAACCTGCTCATCTTTCCCTCTGTTGACCCTCGACCATTATCATTAATTACTTTATGAGAAAGATCCCTGGAAAGAGAGGGAAGAAAGCAGACATACGCTTGTTCAGTAACATTGTCCATGCACACAGACAATGACTGCCACCATTGCCAACACTCCAGTGGGAAGGATCCTAGAAGTGTGTTTGCTTTAAATAATATCCCCATGGTGCTTTTCCTTATACTTGTCCATACAGCTTGCAGTGTTCAGCTTATCCACCTAAAATCCTAGCCTGCTCCTGGTTAATTTTATTATTTTCCATGACTAGCCCACTAATAAGCTTTCTTCAGAAACTCAGTTAACCAACGAGATCAGGATTTATTTGGGTGCTACTTCATGAAAGGGGTACAAATCGCCCCGCCCAGAGTCCCAAGAAAATGCTCCATGTACCTTTCTCTCCCCATGCCTTTTCTTTGCTAAAAATGATGGTTAGTATAAAGATTTATCCAGGACATCATACGATGCAGTCTAAAACTGAAACATACATTTCTCCACAAATCTAGCTTCTTTGTAAAGTTCTAATTTCCGATCGCTGATATTTTATTGCGATTCTTGCGAGTCAAATTCTGCTTTGAGTTTTGGAGGATGACATATCCATTCTTACTCTTAACTGGAGTTAATGTATGTTTGGTTAACAGTGCCATAACACAAAATCATTTATAGGCGTGAGTAGACTCATGCAACAGAACTTCTTCATACAGTCATCCATGCATTCTGCTGTCACTGGGCAACTCCCTAAAATGGAACAGATTTTTACCATGTATCTTCACAATTATTAGCTTTCAACTCATGTCATATTAAGTATTTGTCTTTAAACCTAATTTGCTCCTAATGAAACATAATCTGTGCATGGACAATTTGGAACTGAAGAACCAGCCTCCAAATGGAGGCAGCTGTTGTCCAGAAAAGGTTCAGAAAATGAAAATGCCAAACAGATGAAACTACAGCTGCTAAGTAGCCCACATCTATGGTATTTGTATTTAGTATTATTAGTAACATTCTGGAAGCCTCAGCAGATTCACAAAAGCTTGTCTTATGGATGGATGATAATCGATCCTCATTTGGAGATGTCAATCAGAGAAACGTTTGGGGTTCTGCTTCTGAAGTCTCTCTCAAGTTAAATCTTGCCTATTATCTTCTGCTGACTTTTAGAACTGATACCTGATTAATATATTTCCTTTCAATTTAATTCTTCCTTTTACAGAAGAATTTCAGCTCTCTGTCGGAAAAGAAATGAGTATGATTTCAATTATGTGTTACGTTTAATCATACTGTCACTCTCTCTCTTGGTTTCTGGAAAATAAACAAATAAACATAGTATGAGGTATATGGTATGATTGTGAAGATTATAGGCCCGATCTTCAACTAGTAAAGTAGGACATGTTATAACACTTCAGTGTAACTTTGTAGTCTCTCTTTTACCACAAATAGCTGTTTTTCAGCTATTGAAAAAAGGCTGTCAACAAAAGGAAGAATAGGCAACAGAAGTTTGATAAGTACTAATTATTGCCAGAATTTAGGAACATACTTAAAAAAAAAGTTAATTCTTTATACATGACACAATGGTCACTAATCTAAAAATAACACACATGAAATTGGCTCGTGATACATTCCCTCTGGGAAGTATCTGAGTTGGCAGATGGAAAGAAATGGGTTTTTATATTTTGTGTTAGTAGGTAATGGTTGTCATTTCAGCAACAAAGAAAAAATTAATTGCAGTTAGGAAAGCTTCACCAGAGAGTTTCATGAAGTTATGGAGCAATCTCATTTTGGGTGTCATATTCCTTGATTGCAAGGCTTACACTTTAAAAGGGACATTTGTGCTACATGAAGTTCATTTTGAGCCTTCTATGGAATGTATGTAGAAGATGTCCTATATGAACAAAAGATGAAGCTTAAATTGGAAAGAAAGTAAGAACATTATAATGATTATTGTGATTTCCAATGTGTCAAGAGTAAAGTTCCATCAATCTAACTAAATGCTGAAGTATATCTGCATACAAGTAATCTAAAGATCATAAATGGCCAAATCCATTTTGGGACTTGGCTAACAACACTCTCAAGCTTCAGCATTTCCTAATCAAAGCTGTCCTAGAGCAAAAATTGTCTCTCCTTGTTAACAGGGAAACCAGCACTTTAATAGGAATGAGAGATATTTTTTCGACCTATAATTTTTTCTGTATAACGTTTTTCAAGTTATTGTGCAAGAAATAACCTGTAGCTTATTTTAAAAGCCACGTTTCCATATTAAAGTTTCCATTTTTTTTCTGGAGAGAATGCCCTTGTGATTCAAATGACATTTTTTTCCATTCCATCTTTGCCTTGGAAAGAACACACTAAGATTTTTAGCAAAGAAGAATGTTGGTTCCCAAAGCTACTGTGTGATTTTATCACATCAAACTCTCTTGATAAATGCAAAGACTAAAGAACCAAAACAGCAGCCACCTTGTAGATTTCATCTTTTTCGGAGGAGAAAAAAGTCATTTCAGAATATTGAATGGAACACATCTGAAGTCAACCAGGCAGCTGATAAACAAACACAGACAGACTGACAGGACTGGGAAAATAGGGGAAGTTCATAAGAACCATTCATATTTAATGCTAAAAAAAAATTCAAGAATCCAACTGGAAAAGAAAATCATACATCATTTAGAAAAGATCTAGCTTAGCACAACTAAACCCAAGATAACTCCGTATTTTAAATAAATCTTAAAACAAAAATTACTTCCTACTGATAAAATGTTCTTAGGCAATCTTTGACACAACCAGTTGTGGATTTATATCTATAGCCTTAAATAGGCAAGTTCGTGTAGCAAAGAAAACAGGGGAAAAAATCCATTAACTAGCTATATACGCTAATTATGTTTTCTTCATGTACCTGAATCATGTTCTATATCATCATTATGCAGGATAATTTTAGTTTTTGTACAAATTTCCCTATTCAAAGAAATTGTTTTTCTATACTCCAGGTGTGCCTTGCATCAGTAAGATTTCCTCTTACTCTGAAACTATTCTTGTTCTGGGAAAATCTTCTGGTGTATTATTGTTTTTCAGATTCCTTTGGCTTGGCTGCATGTTGTCCTTTTGCCAAACTGGAACTGTGCCCTCGTCATACAAAATGATGAAAGGAACAGCTATTTTGGAACCTAGCTGGCATCTTATTTTTTAATCTTTAATAATGAATGCTTGGGTTCTCTCAACAGGTGGGTGTCACCCAACAGCTTCACTTGGGAACACGTCAGGAAAAATGATGCAAAGCAAAAGGTAGGGCAAGGAATACCTACATTTTCACCCCACACTCAAAGCTTGTTGCCAGGGTGGTAAGTAAGCATGAAGAAGCCTGTAGGTATTGTTAAGAGTTGGCAAGGCAAACCTGGCAATTCACTCTTCTAAGGGACCACGTTGTCAAGGATTGGAATTTCCAGCCTGCCCTATCAAGCTTCCTATCTTCTCTATGGAGCTATATATTGCTGATGGTGTGAGTGAGACCGAGATACTTCAGGGAGTTTGGAAGTTGATGATGATGAAATCAAAACCCACAACCTTCTTCCTCTACAGATTTCCAAGCCTCCTGGAAGCTGGAGGCATCTAGGCTAATTTTGGCCAGCTTGAGTCAGGCAAGAAGCTTTGATCAATAGCTATAAAGTCTTGTATTACCTAAAACACTGGATCTTCCAGCCTTAGTGATGTAGCTACTATAATAATCTGCTTGGTATAAGTTTTAATCACTCTGGATGGAGCAATTTAATACTCTCTTTCTCATCTTGAGATGGAATGGAAGGAACTTTGGAGACAGAAGAAGAATCAAAATAACCTTCCTCTTCTTCTTCTACTGGGCAACAACCCACTAGAAATCAAGAGGTATTATACCCAGCTATACTGGCAGTATTGTAAAGTCAGACCAAGTGTTAAGCACGTAGGAGACTTCATTATGGGAGGAACTGGTGCTTGGAAATGTAATGTTCCAACACACAAAATCAGATCTTCATTAGCAAGTTTCCACACGGTCTCTAATTTGCTGGGAATTCCAATGAATTACTACTGTCTGGGACAATGCTGAAGAGTGCCAGGACTGTAAGCACAATTATGGTAAAATGGGACAGATCCTTCCTGCTGGGGCCTAAGGAATTACAACAGAGAACAGGGCTGGTGATGTTGACATAGGGAAACTATGTAAGACTGAGTTGCCTGGGAGAATGGTGCACTGTACGAAGATACATATGGTGCAGATGACGGAGACCTACCAACTGGCTAAAGAAAACACATAGGATCAAGAACAAGAATGCTGCCTGGGTGGAGAACATCCATCAAATAAATCAGCTTGTCGTTGTCTAGCAATACTAGAATGGGAGATTGCGGCAGTGCGGGTGGGCGTGAAACAGCCAGGACTGACAGTGGAGATGGTACTGATGTGGTCAGTGTCACTGGGGCTGAACACGGCATCAGCATTGTGGAATCAAACTTTTTCTTCTGAAATTCTGCTACTGAAGGCTGCTTACAGTTCCTAGGACACAGAGATGTCTTCAGAATATAAGCAAGACCCAAGAGCAAGTGACCTACCATGGATCGGAGATGTTGAAGGTTCTTTCAGAGCTGAAGGTGAGGGATCAGCAGAGAGACCAAATGCAAGATGTAGAGTTAGGCTGCAATAGTTTTGCTACAGAGAGAAGGAAGGGGCAACTTGGCCATTGATTTAAGTATTTAAGGCCTGTTTAGTAAAGGCTTGGCAGTGGGGGCGTGCATATGCTTCATGGCTTTTGCCCAAATAAATCAGGACAAAGTACCTAAAAATCTTTTGCAATCTCCTCCCGATAACACATACATGTATTTTTTATTAGTGCTGTTAAATGACATCGTGGCTTTGATATGAAACACCCAGGTTTATGTGGCTCTGAGGTTTACTGGGTGATGTTGAACAAGTCCCTCTTTTCACATTCTCATATATTTTTGTATTCCACACCTCCTACTTTTTAATATGGAGTTGGTGGTCCCTTCCACTTGCACGTATCCCAGACCAGAACCACACTGATCTCAAAACCCTGTGGAGTTTGCACTGGCCTGCAGAAGCTGAACCAATTAACTCCAGTTCATCTCCAGAGTAAATGCTGAGGTATGAGCTTGCATCTATCCTACACTGCCCTAAAGTGAGGTTTGCATTTGGGGTTTCTAGCCTAACACAGTGAAAATGTTGACAGATGGAAGCTGCTTCAAATGGGGGACAGAATTTAAAGAAAGGATCACAATAAGGAACCACCAGAATGTCTTTAAAAAACCCATCTAATAGTTACTTTAGGGAGATGTTTTCAAGAAGACTGTCCTCATTCCAGTGTTTGCAAATAGAATATCTGTTCTCCGGGGAATTTATTAAACTAAGCATGTTTACTTTGTGGAAAGAGGAAGTTTTGAAATACAGGGCATGTCATCTCAACTATACATTCCCTAGAAAAGACAGAATTGCTTGACATGTAGCATTTGCCAAAGCCAAACTCGAGGCTGCTGGGGTGCCAAAGAAAGCATGACAAGGTTTATTTCTAAACTTCTGGCTCTTAAACATGCTACTGTGTAGAGAACGGGTGGGATGGGGGGAGAGGACTCCATAAGATGAAAAGCCATCAGGATCCTTTCCAGAAAATGATCTCATGGGCAGCTGCTTCCACAGGCAAAAATATTTTCCATCTATGCAAATCCGACTTCATTATTGCTCGAGACAGACTCCTAGCTGGGGCTATATGTCGGCACGACGCAGCATTCATTAGTGAGTGATATTCCCAGAGAAGCTTGTCACCTGGGAAGGAAGCAGCGTGCTCTGACCCTCTGCAATTCAATTAATTGGCTGGAAGTTATAGTGTGGGTAAGGAGGAAGTTGCTTGACAGGAGAGCGATTGTGGCTGCTAAAATGAATGACAACATTTGTGGGAAATACAATTCTCAGCAGGAGAGTACCCCAGGACACTTGCTTGCTGTTCTCTATCTTCATACTATAATAGGTTGATGTGCCTGAGAAGGGAAAAGAAGTTCAGTGACTCAGATGTTGGCCTTCATCACTGACCACAAAACAGTGAATGATCTGCAGACTGTAGGAAGGGAATGAGCAAAATATTCTTCAGGGGATCCAGATCCCACAACCCTCGTGACTGGAAACACTCCTGCTGATTAACTTGGGTCAGCTTGAGAAAGCTCAAGCAGAAGCATAGAAGTGGGAGTTGTTCCTTCAACAGATGCACTATAGAGTTTATCCTATGGTCCAAGAGATGTTGGACCGTAGGATAAAATAGGATAAAAAGCCCACAAGACTTTTCTTGCAGAAAAAGGATGTTCGTGGATGTTGTTTTCAATTTGTCAGCTGTATCATTAATACTGTAATCACCATAACTATTTCTGATACCCCATTGTAGAAAGTCTTCAGTGACGTTCCCACATCAGTCAACATTAATATCCAGAGAAGGTTATGTATCTCTCATTGCCAATGACTGAGTTGGCTCTCAACTTCAATAAACTGGCACCCCCTGCTAACAGAGTAATTTGACCATCACATTCTCAACTGGGGGATCACTAAAGCTTCCCAGAGTTATGTTTGTCACTTGAGTCCATGATCTCTTATGAAAGTGGTGCAAATCATCTAGTGTTTAAAATGCCAAAAAACAAAACAATACAAAACAAAAAAAACCCTATCCAAACTTCTGCTTCCGTAGAATGTAAAGCATTTATGCAGCTTCATTGAATTATTCCCTGTATTCCCAGGTCATACTTTATACTGAAAAGAGACAAAGTCTCAATACATTTTTAAAAGGAGCTATGACAGCAGGGAGATCCCTGAGCATCGACTTAGCCTATGGATTCAATTAAGGAGACATGGGACATTCAGAAATGGCATCGTATAGTTTCTCAGGGGATCTCCAGATATAAGAGTTCAGTAGCGCTATCTGGTCTTTTGCTGCGTTCAATTTAACTCCACTGCCCAGTGTAGAATGGCCTTGAAGGACAGGAGGAAGAGCCACTCCCAATGCAGTGGTCAGATATGAGAAGCTTGGGCTTGGGCCAAGAAAATAACTTGAACTCACAAGCCCCTCCCTAGTTCACATGGAGATAAAATGAGGGAAGCACATTCAGACTCGCAAGATTCTGTTACTATAGCTTGTTACAATCAAAGTAGTCCTGACCTGCATGGCATTGGTTTCTTAGTCTGGTCCACCTCGTGGAGCTGACAACCTTTTGCCTCTGTGCTCTTGTAAATGTGCAGCTAGTAAACCTGCTACCTACAAGAACCATAACTCAAAAAAGGCACAAAGAGGGGAGCTGCCATAACAAGCTGAAATATTCTTTTCTTGGCTATGATGCTCCAAGACTATTGGGAAAACAGCACTGGCTTCTCTCCAATTCATAATTTTGGCTCCTGGCTAACCATACTCTGAAGATTTGAACAGGTATTCCTAGAATTTTGGTGCTGTTAATATATGTGTATTAAATAACTCAAATGCTGTTCAGTTCTATAAATAACGTCAATACCACAAAATCTACCTTATGACTGTCTGGCATTATATACCATTTGCTACCAGCCATACACTCTCTGGAATTTTGTAACCAGCACATTCAGTTGACGCATTCTAACTGACGCACTCAAACCACTGGAGGAAAATGATAATCTTCCCAATTATTCCCCTCCTCGAGAAAAAATTACAGTGCTTTAATAGAAGAATGAGAAAAACATACAGATGCTTTGGCTCTAATACATGTTATTCATTAAAACCTTTTCTGCATCAATCTGCAATGTTGAAGAATGCTGAAACCAAGAAAGAATAACTTCTCAATCTCCTATTGACTGATCAACAAAATTCCTGCATCGACAGTTTGCAAAACCAGAGGCACCATTTTCAAAAGGTTAGCTAAGAGTCAGAACACAAAGCCAAAAAGTCTGTGGTCTTGTTGGTCTCCAGAAATTTAGATGGAGTGTTCCATGGATAAAGGGACAGGAAACCTTTTCTGCAGAGAAGAATCAATAGCCTGATTAGTCTTTGTGGGATTTGGGATATTTTCATGGCAAATTAATGGCGGTTTTTTTCCAAGCCTACAAGAATCTGTAACGTGTGATCCATAATGCCACCGCAGTAGTCAGATGAATGGAATCAGTCAGAAAAGCTTGAATAAATAAGACAAGTTTTTTTTTTCTTTAAATCTACTGCCACCCAACAAGAAGAGAGTATTGGTAAAGAGAAGTGACTACGTATGTAAAAAAAAGCAACCAAATTCTAAAGACTTACAGAAAATATATATGCTTTAGATTTACTGGGTCCATAAAATTATTAAGTACTACTTTTATTGACCATTCATTCATTTCACCTCAGTATTTTCTCTGAAGCTATTCTTTTTCCTGAGGTCATGTTCTGAAGGCTTGATGTTGGAATGAAGACAAACGATATATTGATTTTCTTTCATTTGCAACATCAGAATGGCCAACCGCGCCACTATTCAATTTTAACCATATTTTGTTTGACTGAGTGGATTGGTTTAATGTCTGCATGTGGCATATCCACAGAAGAAGCCCATCTTCCAGCTATTTCCTGAAGCAAACATTTCATCTTATAATAATGAATGGGTAATGCTCAAAAAGTTGAACATTTATGTGTTCTGAAGGAAATATCATGGAATTCTACATCAGCATGATGGAAGAGTCTCTTCAACACAACTTTATCAAATTAATATCTATGGAATGACTTAACAGAACAAGGATTTCATAGCAATAGAACAGAAACTTTTCCTACAATGGCAGCAATTTACTTTTTTCTTTGGTATGGTATCCTATCCTTCCTTAACAAAGTCATATGTTACAGTTATGCCTTCCAAATAACGTGTCTTCACTATTATCACATATTTCAATCAACAGATTTGATTCAGAGGAACTTTCAATTATGTAAGAAGTAGGAGAATTGTAGATGTCAAGCAAACTCCAAAACCAACAAACTGAAACACTCTGTGGTCATACAACATATTTTCCACAATATTTATGTGCAGCTGGCACTGCTAATACTAACTACAATTTCCAAACATTTCCTCACATACATTAATATGTGAGCTTGGTTTAGGCAACCACAATCTTTTATAGCTATTTCAAGTGCCAATACTAAAAAAAAAAAGGGGGGGCAGTTAATACAGGAAATGCTGATCATTCAATATCCTTCAGTCCCTTCTTGACTTTCCATGTAATATTTAAATTGGTACTCTCTCATATTGCCTGAGTTTTTATGAGCTGCATGGTTTCTGCGTTATATCTTAAGTTTGGCCTAAATTTAGCCTAACAATGTAAAAACAAATGGCACATAATGAGTTTAAGGCTCCTATTTTTTCACACTAATCCTCAAACAATTCAGAATCTCACTTCCAGTTAAGATGCCAATAAAAATGTCTTCTAGAACAAAAGGCAAGGTTCCTGCTTTAACAAGCTGACATACCTATTTTCAAATTTAGAGAGCTGTGTGTTGGAAATCCAATATTCTGTTCTAAATCGTCGTGCTCCATGGCATCATACAGATGTTGAAGCTGAGATTCAGGACTTGCCACTTATTCTTCAAATCACAACTACAGTGATTTCACTTTACATCCTTCCCCTCTGCATTGGTGATTCTTTCAGAATGAATGTCAGGATACCTCCCAATTTCCAATTCTGAGTTCAGTCTCACGTTCAAGTATTTTAAGCTGGTTAGACTCCATCTTATATAGATGAGGAAAGGCTAATTTTTTTATGGCCATAACATTTGCAGATTATCTTCCAAGATTATTTTCAATGTACAGATAATTTATTCTAGAAACCACACTGTAGTTATTTTAGTTTCAAAGAGTCGCTTTGGCATTATCCAGAGCAGTAGCCAATTAAAACAAACCAATATCCATTTGGAAGGAAAACAAGCACAGAAGACAGCTTTCTTACATTTAATTTAAACTGGCTCCTTATGTAAAATTTTCTTACTTTTTAAAAACTCTTAGGAAACTATTTTTACTTTTTAAAAGAAATTTCATTCACAGCTTGGCCAATTTTCAACGTGAAATCATCATGAGGAACGTAAGCACCAAATCACAATAGGTGATGACAATTTTTGTGGGTTACTTAGATACTAATATTAATATTAATTTCACATGAAAAAGCCCATGCTGTTATGTTAAAAATGCTAAATGTTAAAATATCAGGCAATGTTGAACATTCAAAATTGCCCGTGAAGTCCTTTACACGGGGAATGTTTGTACAGGTAGTCCTCAACTTACGACTTTTTACTTCTTTTTTTTCACACTGCAAATAGTCACCAAAGATTACTCTTATAATATGCTTTAGGGGTATCTAGCCTTTCTCACAGTGCTATACTATCACAGCAATGGTATCTGAAACCATACGGCTGTCAATAAGGGATTCCAAGGACACCATTTCAATTTCCCAGTGATTATTTATTTTATTTAGCAAATTTATATGGCCGCTCATCTCACTAAAAGTGATTTGGGTAAGAAAGGCTTTTTTGTTTATATATTCAATACAAAAAATGGCAAACAACCGTGTTTATAAAGCACTAGTCATTTATGTATATCTTAGAACTCTTGCACTGCTATCAACATAGGCGTATCACCCTTTTGAGTCTACAAATTTAGCGTAACTAGGACAATTTAAACTGGGGTGATCCAAAGACCATTCTATGTAATCTCAATCTCTTCCAATGGTTACATGCCCCATATTGCTAATAGTGCCTGGACACTACTATAAAAAAGCGATTTTTTCCTCTCTACCCTTTCAGAAGTTACTGTATTCAAACACTTTAGTCAGCCTTAAGCAACATTCATCCACTAAGCTATTTTCTTCTACACCAAAGAGGTTTCGAAAATTAATCTGCTTCTTAGTCACTACTATAATAACTGTGTACTTGCTATTAGACTATGCCAAAAGAATGTTTCATATAAACATAAAGCTGAAATTAGTTTGCACAGTTTAATCTGCACACTAGTGACTTAAATTTACCTCATTTGTTTAGCTGGGATTTTGCTTCAAAACAGCTGCATGAACTTCAGAAAGCCAAGTCATTTCCAGGGCAATAATTATGCTTGAAAGGACTTTTTGTGTAAGGAAAAAAAGTTGTTCTATGTGTCTTTTTGGATCCATCATTTGATCACAGATATAATAAAAGAATGACTTGCGTGTTACAGTAACTAATACTATTGGCTTTGGAGAATGTTTACAAGCCATGCTAACTCAAGCATCTAATTAGAATATTCCATGGTGGCCAAAATATATTATTCATCTATCACAATCATCAGTACTCACTGTTAACTTTATTATCTAGTCTAATTCCTTTTTAAGGTCTTCCAAGTGGAAGATCATATCTAACCACACCTTAGCTCCATTCAGCCTGCACAGGGATCCTCCTGCCAGTGCCCCTGAAATAGCATTAAGGGCTCACTTGATCACCAATCTATGCAGGAGCAAAGCTCCGCTGGTTTCCACATGGGCTTTAACCTGTTTTTGTTGAAAGATCTGCTATTTTCCAGTTCAATTCTTTAACAACTCTGAGCTGGATACATCTGTGATCTTTGGATGGGTGTGTTTTCATTTTGTCTGTAACACCTCAGGCTCCACTAATTGTCAGGAATGTTTGTTTCATTTTCTCATACTGCCCTCTTGGTATCACTTCAGGTATGGGTGTTGATGCTAAATGTTCTGTAGGCCTCCAAAGCATCACTCCAACTTCTTCTGGTGAAGGATCAGAGGGGAAAAGTGATGATAACTGATTGCATTGTATCAGGGTCCCTTTCCTCTGTCTATACTAAAGGGTTTGGAATTGGCCAACAGTTCTCTTTCGGGAAGGCTGAAGTCTTCCAACCCAGCAGCTTTGATTTGCTAAAAATACTTTTTTTTCCAGAATTACAGGAATGTGGATGGAAAAAACAACTTTTCTTTTTCCACAATCAATCTCAAACTGGGACACTGACTTTTAAACAGAGATGTGAGATATACCAAGTAAACAAGCTGAGTAACATTGCTCTCACAGATATATCTGAAGCAGAACTTTTCACTGCAACAAAACTACTGTTAGAAAATACTTGAAACAACCTTCATCTCTCCAAAACAAATGTTGTTACAATTTCATCTGTTGGTCTCCTCCGGACAGGGGGAATGCACGTTAGACTGCGGTTACCTACTGAAGACCTGAATCAATTCTTGATTCTGTCTCAATGAGGTTCACTGAATACTTTCCTTTAGCCAGCTAGCACTGTTAAGACATAAACAACCTTAACATCAGCTGGTAACAAATGCAGGTTATTTTGGGGGGGGGGGAAACAGCGAATAGACATTATTGCATAATCTCTTTTGTTTCATGCTTGGTGTTTGTGAAAGATCAGCTGGCACAATCAGGATATTGACAGAAACAGACGGAAGAAAAATGTTTTTTGTTCACATGGTGTCCCGTCTTCTTAGTGGCTTACGAACTAGTGCTTCTGTTTTAGAAGGAATTTGGTACCAATATACTAAGAATGCCATGAAGATAATGCAATCTTAGCTAGACTTACTTGAAAGTAAACCACACAGATTACAAAGCCTGACTCCTACATTTGTTTAAAATGAACCCCATCTGCTTTACAGACCATCAATGGCCACTGGAAGCTTCTTTTTATAATACTGTAGCTACATCTAAATAAACTTCCACTTTGAGGCAGACTGATGGAAGGTTCAGGCATTACAAATAAAATGGGTTTTTCATTCCATGCTGAGATGCGGGGGGGGGGGTTGCCCCCTCTGCTTTAAGAAACAAACCCTGTTCTTGAACAAGTTACCAAGCCCAGTGAATCCCAGCCCAGGAAGTGCTGAAAACAACAGTTAAAGCAATGGAGTTAAAGGTGCAGGAAATCACTGCAGTGGTTAGTTGTGACTTTTCCATTTATAAGTTATATATCGTGTATGGAATGCAACTATTCCAAGTTTTATTTTCCAAATCCTGATCCTGCTGGGAAAAAGCCGGATGGAATCTTCCAGATCTATCTGATGGGAATAAACCTTGCCATGTAAGCCTCATTGTACTTTATGGAATGACCTCCTGGGCAATTTTTATTAGTTCTACTAATAGAATTGTTCCTCAGTCAGAATTATACACATTAAAAAGTTCACTTGTTAGAAAGTCCTGTTACCCTTAGGTGTGTTTATAGGGTAAATATCTAAAATAAATTCCATCAACATGCTCTCTAGGTACATTCTCAAACTGAAGCTACACTTACATTGAGATTATACAATTGAACTGCCATGTGCAGAATGTGGGTTAGACAATAACGTATAAATAAACTAAAAACCACAAAAGCAAAGCAAACAAATTCACCACTTCTATTTGTTTTTTGATCTCCTTCTGGAAGTTCATATAAATAATTTTATGAATAAAGGCTCCAGAATAACAATATAAATAGCTATTTCTTCATCAATTTTACAGCTGTAGTGTTCTACTTTCTGTCCTGTTTCAATTCTTCTTCTGCCAATCCAGTTTTTCTCAAAGCCAACAAAACTTCAGAAGATCTTATTCGTCAGAAAACAGAGTCTGTTCAGCTGATATAAGTTCTAACCCTTTCTTAAAAAAACAAAACCTATTGGATATCTATGAAATACTTAAACCATGAAATCAAAGTGTTGATTCTTCTCTTCCTTCCTTGCTCTCATTCCAAAACCTTTCGGTGAGAGATAAAAACAATACTTTCCAGATCTATACATACCTCCAGCATGACAAATGGTATGTAGAAGCACATAGTTCCATGCCTAAGGTCAATGTCAATGTGTGAGGTGTGGAAATCATTTAATAGTTTGAAATAAGTTCCAGAATTTGCAAGACAGAGCAAGCAATCACTATCGTGTAATTTGACATATGATAAAAGACAGTTGACTCTAGGCATGGTTACAATGTTTAACCATAGTATATATAGTGTATATATTCAAGAATCTACAATTGTAATGGCCAAATCTAGGAAGCAAAACATTATGTGACCCTCTTTCACTAATTGTGAATTGCCCTAACTTTGATGAGCTCTTTCCCACCCAAAATAGCTGGTCCTTAGGCTTCCATTATTATCCCTGACATATTTCAAAATAGACTGGTAATCTATAAAAAACGGCCTTATAAAATTGTCATCCTGTTTCATAGGTACTGTCTACGCACATATACTGCATGTCCCAAACCTCCTTAAATACAATTCACTAGCTTGTTGGGGTTTATTCAGAAAAAACAGTGGTGCTGTAAGTATTCGGCATCCCATTCTCACTGTCTGCTTTCTGTTATAAGACCAACCAATTCATATTTTCTTGTTTGTGTTCTAACACAGGATTCAGGGCCTTACATCTAATGAATGCTTACAGTAATAAGAACCTTTCTTTCTTAAACAGGGAACTGTTAATTATGTACTAAGTTCCCTATACCTCTAAAAGCAAAGTAGAAAAGAAGCTTAAAATAAATATAATATGCCCATCATACCATAAACTTCAAGAGAGTCAGCCTTTCTAGGATGATCTTCCAGTAAATTCTGGCGGTTGGAACAGCTAAAGCTCAGTCATTCAATCAGACAGAACTGCTCACTCATGCCTCGATGCTGTTAGTCCATGGAGGTAGAAAGGTGTGCTTAATAAACTCAATCTTGTAGGCAAATTTGCACTGTAAGCATCTTATAGTTTTAGGCAAATAAAAGGCGCACATGGGAAAAGAACGGGGAGGTGTGTCTGTGGCATGTGGGGAGAGAGCACGTGTGTCGGAGCCACCCAGGCGCTCAAATGCAAAGAGCAAGTGCTTGGAAAGGACCTTCAAACTTAATCGTAAAGCTGGATATTTTGGAAATGGTCTACACAGCAATACCAATGCTAGATGCCAAGGGTGAAGTGTGATGCACAGTACAGCATTCCCTGCTAAACAGTGACTCCTGGTTATTGGGGGTGAAAACTTTCTCACCCCCAGACTTTGGAGAGGCAGGTGCTAGAAAGTCTTGCATAATCCCATGCGTAGAACTGCGTCCTGCCTTAAACAGAAGCAGCAAAAGCACAGCAATTGTTTCTGCCTTAAGTCATCCCTAGTTTCTCACCCCCGCTCTCTGACAAAGTCTAGCAAGGGCGTCTACTACACAGTAGATTCTTCGGAGCTGCCGAATGCTGTGACCTCACCGGGTAAAAAGTTTGGCTTCAGCCAGCCTTTGCTGCTTGTGGCTGAAGGGAGGCCCTCGGTGTCTCTCTTGACGATGGATCCTGTGCCTGGTGGGAGGGGAACGTGGAGCCTATCCAACCAGAACGTGTCTGCTTACTGCATGCTTGATGATCACCCTCCCCTCCTCCAGCATGTAAATCCACCACAAAGGAGCTGAAGTTCAAATGGGGCTGTTCAAGCTTCGCTTGAAATGATGGACTGAAAGCTTATAACTTAAACGCAGAAGAGCCGGTGTTCCTGAAACACACGTCAACAGCTGCAGCCTATTGTTCCTGAGCGCCTACATAGTATGGGAGCCAACGGCTTAGCTTCGGCAATCAGATTAAAGGGACAAGAATTTCAACAATAAGGAAGTAAGAGGACTCCAGTAGCCTTCTGTTGTTCTTCCAAACACGGGACCAAATGCATGAATTTCTCATGCAGTAGAACCTAGGCAGTCTGGATCACAGATGAATATGTTTCTTGGGTATCAGTGATGTCATTATTTCTATGGATACATCGATCTGTGAATCCTTGATTTAAAAACAAAGCAAAATGCAAGTTTGAAGCTTGAAGAAAGAAGTCCAAAGGAAATAGGGTAAGAATATGAAAAAATATTGCATTTAACAGGAGAATATATACATATATAAAACAGGTTAGCTATAAAATATTTTTTTAAACAAAACAATGTCTTTAGAAAACAAAGTCTGCCTTTCAGTAAGGACAAGCAGGGTTTAAGTTTTTTTTCAGGTCATCAACTGTTACAAGAGCCTTATGAAAAGTTCTTAGTAAAATAAATCCAGACAAATTTTCAAATGTTAAGATTTCTGTGTGGTTTATTCTCATTTTTTAAACTTTAGAATGTATGTTTATAAACTTAGCCTAAGATATTGAAATGCCTAAGTTCTAAATCATTGGATGTGTAAAACGTGTTTTGCTTTTCTAAATACCACTAAACTTTAAAATGTGTGTCTCTTCTTTGAAAGGACTATTGTATTACAATCCAGGAAACTGGTCTTTACTTTCCTCTGACGCACTGATCAGATTCAAAGATGCAGAGCTCCTCCAAGTAACCGTTTAACAAAAATCACAGTGTTTGTATGTACAGGTGACAGTGGCTTTAAAAATACCCAAACTAAGCTGAGTAGAATATTTGGGAAATAATCTATGTAGCAGTATTAACAGGAGATGCCAAGGGTGAAGTTTAATGCAATGAACAGAGTTGCAGAACTCTTAACACATGAAAGAGAAAGCAAAAACATTAAGACCTCTTTCAGCAATGGCTAGTTTAACAGACAACAAAGTGAGGCCACAGTTAAAGGGGAATAAGAACAAATGTAACATTTCAGTTCAAATTTCCAAGAGTATTTTTCTTTTTTTTAAAAAAATATATAATGATGCTGTCTGAGGAATTTTTGTTTGACCTAGAAACAAAGATTGCAGATGCCTTTGCTTACAAAGACAAGAGACCAAAAGTTTAGGATTGATTTGAAGTCTTTAAAGTCATTTAGTAAGAGTTCAAAAGTACTTGCAGACTAAAGACTGATATCTAGCAGGCATTTATTCCCTCCTCTCCCACATCATCCTCAGCAAGGAGAAATTAGTAGAAAAAAGGATTCATTTTGAATAATTCTGATGCCGGATCACTTATTGCAGGAGGAAGGTAAAAATAGTGACTGCAAACTTAGTTAATGTTTAAAAGATTCAGAAAAGCTGGCTATCTATTTCTTACAAAGTTCAATACACTGAAGTGGGTTCATACTTCCATTGCTCATCTGCTATGTAAAAATAAGTCTGTCTTTTAGAAAGATGCTGGCAGAGTTCTCAAGCCCATATGATTTTATCAAACCATTTGTTATAGGCAGTTGGAAGATGAGTGATTACTGAACCTCTAACACGAGCGAAACTGATACAGAACTAGGATAATTATGATGATTCCCACATGCTGGGAAAAGTAATCCATTGTGACCCATCTGCCAAGAAAACAAGCCTTCAAAAACCCTGATTGGTATGAAAAATTCTAGGGTCAATTTTAATTTCTCGCTTCGTTCTTGGTAAAACAGAGCACTTGATATGGACTTGAAAGCCCTCAGTAAACATGCAATTTCCCAAGTTACAGGATGTTAGGACTCACTCTGTTTAAGGGGCTGACCAAAGTTCAGCCTCAGAATCCATCTGGCGTTCCATTCCATAAAGATATGGAGTAGCGATAAAAACAATAGAAAAACATTAGCTCACAAGCAAGAGAAGCTCTGCAGCCTTTGGGTTCAAAGGCAAAAAGATCCTTCGGGGCCTGCAGGAGTGTGACTGTAGTATCTTACTTCAACTCCTTCAAACATCCATGCCGCCCAGGGAAACGTCTTTCCTTTAAGGAGCTGCAGATGGGTGGCAGATTTAGGCCACCACGCACTCAGAAGCACCTTTTTACCTTTGAATCCAGAGGCTACACAGCCTTACTCATAGGTAACTACAGCTGCTCCCACCTCTTGGACAATTAGAAGCTGAGCTTCCATGTCAAAGTAGAGAGCAAGATAGGAGAGCTGCTACTATGAAACTAGAGCACTTTGGACCATAAACTGGTTGATAGCAGAGGGATGCCAAAGATGGTATGTATTATATGAGGACGTTTTATTCTGAATCAAATAGTCTTTAAAACCCCATGTTTCTACTGTGCAGACACAGGGCTTTCTGTGGAGTCCTTGGGGTTCTCTGAGCTTGGTTGTTTTCTTGTGACGTTTTGTTACCCGGCTAGGTAACAAAATCTCTGCTGAAAGAAACCGTAAGGCTCCACACACCCACCCCTATCTAAATTTATAAATTT